TCTTACGGCCATTGAGTCGACATTTTTTTTGTAGGCTTAAAGCTGACCTCAAATACATGTTATCTAAGTCTACTTTGATGCAGTTCAGCAGTTCATAGACGTCTTCGATTCTTTCTTCCACATTGTGTGCAACCCAGTTAACGACAGCTTCAATGGCTGCCTCTTCTTTCCGAACATTGAGATTCTCCCTGGAAAGAATATAAGAGAGCTTCTCCTTGCCAATGTCCAGAAACTCTTCCTGCTTCCACACTTCTTCAAACTGCCATAACAATATCCTCCTGGACTCCTTCTCTAGTTCCGAGCAATCATGATATTCGGCAAAGGAGTGCATCCCTATGCAGTTGTCAGTGTCTAAATGCCTCACCAGGAACTGCTCACAGGCTTTCTTTACTGACACGAACTGGAGCAGGTCTGCAGCCTGGAGTAGGCTTTGGACATTTCTCTTTGTTATCTGGATCTGTGATGTGTATGCATAATTCACGAGGGCTTCCAGTACCGCATGGCTGAGCCCGGGAAGGCTGATCTGGTTTTTGGATTTCTCTTTCATATCGGCTGTGAACATGGCTTTGAAATAACTGCTGCAGGCTGCCAGGGCGGCTCTGTGGCAGTGGAAGATGACCCCCGAAGCGCACTGCAGGGTGATGTCGGTGAACAGCCCGTCCAGGTAGAACGCCCGGAACGCCTCCAGGAAGCCGGCGGGATGCCCGGAGTCCTTGTATAGATACGCGTACTCCTCCTGCGCGGCCGCGGCCATCGCCGCGCCCCGCAGCTCCCGCCGCTTTGTCCGCGGTGCTCAGGGCAGCCCGCCCGCCCCGGCTGCGGGCCCGGCCCGCCCTACCCGCCCGGCGCGGCGCTTACGCCCGTGCGGAGCGCGGCCGCGGCCAGGGGCGCTCCCAGCCCGGGGCGGCCCCGGGACGGCCTTTGGAAGAGCAGCTGCCGGCGAGAGCGGCGGGGCCGCAGCAGCAGCAGCTCCTATTTTGGTGTCCCGGCCGCCCCCACCCACCCTCCGCACCACTCCGCACCCCTCCGCGAGGTCGCGGCCCCGCCGCCCAGCCCGGCCCCTCCCGCCCGCTCGCCTCGGGAAGGTCCGGCCCGATCCGCTGCCGCCGCCGCCCGAGCGCTCCCACCCCGGGGCAGGGGTTAAAGGCTGTCCGCGCTGGTGACAGACGGCCCGGCCGTATTAGGGACAGGAGCAGATGCCTGGGGAGCGTCACCAGCTCGGTGTCACTCAGCCACACAACAAAGCGAGGGGGCTCGGCTGCCGCTGACAGCGACCTGAAGCCGCCTCTAGAGGAGGCGCCCCTCGCTCCCAGGAGCGACACTGGGAAGGGCAGCAAGAACCAGGGGCTCTCCCATTGACTGAGAGCAGGAGTCGAAAGGAGGTGGCCAGAGCTCTCCCCATACACCCGAACCTGGCAGGGTGCAAAGGACAGTCACAATTTTTGCCGACAGACTCCAGCTAGAAGTAAATCATTCAGGAAGAGGGCTATATTGGCTTTTACAACTTCTGAAAATGTGGTTCACAATTTAAGAAGTCTTTCTCTTCTCTGCTAGCAAAAGGTTTTCTGCAATGGACACCTTTATTTGAAACACAGCATCCTCTGGGTTCAAGCAGCTGTGGTCCTCCCTAATCTGCAGATGAGTTTGGATCCAGCCAGGCTCTGCTGGGTTGAAGGGACTGGCAATGGTTTCTCCTACCAAAAGGAGGTGGGTATTTGTTATTGTGCCAGCAATACTCAAAAGGAGAAACTAGGATAGCTCCTGCTCTACACAGATGAAAAAGCATCATATTTTTCTTTCAATTACTAGTGGTTCTTCCTCCACAATGCCCACCACGAACTAAAGAAATCCAAACAGGAACATGTATGTGGACATACCTCTCTGCCATCCTTCTTCCTGTATTAATCATGCAACAGGACTCAGACTTGCTCCTGGCCTTTACACAGTAACATGAGACAAAAATAAACTCATCCAAACAAACAAAAAACCCCACAAAACCAAAAAGTACACCTTCACACATCTTTACCTTCTATTTCTTCAACCCCTCTTGATGCATCGCTAGCTCAGAGAATTGGAGTTTTGCAGTGTAACCCAGGAATTAGCAACAGCCCTGCTGTCTCTGCCATGAGACTGTTCCTCAGCTACATTACCCCATTTCTTTCTCTGGAGCATTCCCTTGTACAGCCCTAAGTCTGTTTATACATCCCCACATCAAGAGATTTGTTTTGCTGTGGTTTTGCGTTTTGCATTTCATCAGCTTCCTATGGACAAGCAGGAACTTCTTCCAAGTCTTGGCCATCCTACTAGCACACAATACTAAGTACTCTCCATGGTAGCTGGTGTATGGTGGCAGACCTGTCTGCCACATACACAGATGCCTTCCATTATGCATTTCTTTACATAACATTTTACCCAAGCCATCTCCCTCCCAGACAGCACTTAGATTTAAACTGTCAGCAAGTCTGCAGGTCAGCAACACTTAGTACTGAACATACATCCCCTTCAAGGAGCTTCTCCCTTTCTCTTTTGGCTGGATTACCAGCTCAAACCACCTTCACCTTTTGGAGATACTCATCTCCCCTGCATGATAACCAAATGTGGAAAAATTTGGTAATTGTGATGCTTCAGAAAAGTCCTCTCTTCTCTTTTATTAAGAGGGGGAAGGAAAAACCCAAACAAGACTTGGCTAATAGCTTAATGGTCTGGCTACTGGAATTACAAAATTTCTTCTGTCTCCAACATGCACTTTGTCGAGCAAACAGCATCAGCTCTACCCTCTACTTGAAGTAATTAGATCATAATTGCTAATATTTCAAGTAGTCTATTTTACTTAATCTGCTCTCAACTCCTGCTTCAGTACTTTCATCAAAACCAGAAAAAGAACCCCTTTTTGAGTGTGAAGATTAATTTCTCACTCAATTTCTCACTCTCACAGCAAACTATGAGATAGGTTCCTAAGGCCAAAAGAGCAATAATTAATATAAGTGGCAAAAAAAAGCTGAGCAATTACTGACATACTACTTTTTTGGGTTTTTTAAGTAAGCAGTATCTGAGATCTGTGGACAAGCTGAAAGCAAGCTATACCACAACTAAGTTCTAAAATCACAAAAGAGATCAGCACAGAATATGGAACATTCAGTAGTAGATCTAGAATTAAAGAGACACACAACTGTCCTGGCTTCAGCTGGGATAGAGTTAATTTCCTTCTTAGTAGCTGGTTTAGGGCTGTGTTTTGGGTTTACTATGGGAATCATGCTGACAACACACTGATGTTTTGGATGTTGCTAAGTGGCGCTCACTCTAAGTCAAGGACTTTTCAGTTTCCCATGCTCTGCCAGTGAGGAGCTGCACAAGGAACTGCAGGGAACATGGCCAGGAGAGCTGACCTGAAGTGGCCAAAGGGATATTCCATAGCATAGGATGTCACACTCAGTACACAAACCGGGGGGAGTTGGCTGGGAGGGGCCAATCACTGCTTGGGGCTGGGCTGGTCACTGGTCAGTAGATGATGAGCAACTGTATTGGGCATCACTTTTTTCTCCTGGACTTCTTTCCTTTATCTCTCCTTTTCATTACAATTATCATAATAATTTAGTACTATATGTAGCAGAATACTGTATCATATTTTGTTTCAATTATTAAACTGTTCTTATCAAACCACGAGGTTTAATTTTTTCCCCAGTTCTCCTCCCCAAAGAGGGGGGGATGGAGTGAGCAAGCCGCTGCGCGATACTTAGCTGCCAGCTGGGGTTAAACCACAGCAACAACTTAAACCCCAAAGTAACATACAAAAGTGTCCTATACAACAGCCATTACTGTCTTTTGTGTGACCTGTAAATCAGACAATTTAAACCTGTCAAAACTTGAGACCTACTAGTTCTTCAGATATTCTCTTCATGCAAGACAATAGGGCAAGATCTCTAATATGAACATCTCAGATACCTATCAAATATCCATCAATAAAGCAAAGCTCCTGAGAACTCAAGTATATTGCTCTGGACATCTTGGACAACAGATTGTTCAAAGCAGCCTTCTACAATTCATTAAAATAGGTGAAGCAAGGAAGGAACTACGCAACAGAAATCTTTATTTATATACACTACCAGCCTGAAAATAGGCAAGACCACTCCTAAAAATCTTCAATTAATAAAAAAGAAGGTAGTGACAACATCTAGTGTCTGTAAGAAAATGAGAACAATGCTGCACAGAAAACAAAAGAAGACAAATATGGCAACTGCAGGCTGTTGAGTTACACCTCAGACATCAGCAACTGAGATGCTGTGAAACTGGACTAATTTATCAGCTATTAAAGCACTTAAGCTAAAACTGACTTCAGTTTAATAGCAGATGACATCATCCTTCTGAACCTTTTGTGGGACTACAAGAAGAAAAACATTTGGAAATACATTATTTAATTTTAATGAGACTTATTTTTAATATCTTTATAAGCATAGCCAAACTCTTGAGACTCATCACACTGTAAGTGGTGAAGAGACTGAATGTTCACAAATGATTCCTTAAACTATTTAAAGACAGAACAATTCTGTTTAAAAGTTAAAATGGACATAGGTGTTCCCTTCCACCCTGTAAGAGAGGATTGCACTATAGATATGGATGAGAGTGAATAAGTAAAATCAGTGTAAACATGTATATATACACACCATTCTATGGGCCTGTGCATTGCAGCAGAAACCAGGCAAGGAAAAGGCACCCAGCTGACTCGGAGCTGTCGGCATGGATGGTCAAACCTGTGTTAGCTCTACACAGAGTGGCAGCAGCCACCATTGGGGCAGTAGTTGGAATGGGAGAGAGAATTTCTTTAAACAGAACAGCAACATCCTTACTGCCTGCCAGAAGAGAAAGGGCCTGACTGGCAAAATAAATGAAGGTGTTAACCAAAGGCTGACACCTACACTTGTGCTCGCTCTCTCCAGGCCCTGACAAGAACAGGTGCCTGACGACACACAGACCAGCAGAATACATGACATAAACTGCACATGTCAGTGACAGCAACTTTTATTGTCTGTACAATACAAGATAATACAAACTATTAAAAAGTCATTTTGTTTGGTAAAATATTTAGTAGATTGAAAATATAGATGCATCTTCAGATGAAACAAGATCACAAGCATACCAAATAATTTACAATCAGATCAGAGAAGTATAAAAGCCAACAGTTCCAGAACCATGCTTCTGTCACCTAATGTTTTTTAAGTAAAGAATGTAATTCTTTTTTGCACTAATCCTACTCCTTCCCCCAAGTGTGTGGGACAGCAAAGGTCAGTTATATAGTTGGTAAAGGCTTGGTGGGGAGGGAGTAGACTAAGAATAATGACAAGTCCTCTTGAAATCCCCCTCCTCCACTTAGATTGGAATGTGTACTATGTTAGAAGGCCTTTTTTACTTCACTTTCCTAATATTGCCAAGATTGAACATAAACAGCTTTATACTGTGTTTAAAAAAAGTCAATTCAGATATTAGCCCAAATTTCCAATTTTGTGCTTCTATATACATGCAGTTTTTCTCTCCCAGGAAGTTAATATATCAGTTTACTTTTATCATTTGAATTATTCCTTTATAAGGAGTTTCAGGTAAGACATAATGTCAGTAGCAGATGACCAAACCAGAACAGAACACTGTACAGGACTGAGATCTTGAGCCAGTTGAGAAATCTTTTTCTCCAAGGTATACCCCTGCCTGGGCATAGCAACATCATTCTTCTTCAAAAACATTACTGGACATAAGTCATTCCCACCATCACCAATATACATAATTTGTGTATAACTAACTCCTCGCTCCAACTGTTTATCTAGAAATTCTTTTAAAACTTTCCTTTTGCAAAGGTTTTTTGGGCACTTTGCACAACGGTGAGCATGGAAGTTCTGTACAGTAAGATAGCCAGTACTGCTGAATGCTGCAGGGTTTGTAAACACTTCATCAAAAACCTCATGGAAGTCAGCAGCTTTCAAAATCCAGTCAATAAATACTGTATTAGAATCTGAAACAATAATGCAATCAAACAACTCTTTGTTCTTGCCAATAAACCCCAGAAGATCTACCATTCCTGCAGTGAAAGGAATTGTTGTCATAGTTCTTTTCATTTCATCTTCTTTGACACCATTGTCTCCCAAGTAGGCAAAGACTCTGCCCATATATTCTGTCCAGTGTCCTGGTTGGTAGGAGTTTCTTAATCCATTAGGAAGTTTTCTCTCTGGAGCACATTTCACAATCCAGGTATCACTATTTTCATCTATGATTGTATGGTCAAAATCAAAAACCAACAGAAATTTCATAGCTGTGAGAAAACAAGTTTCCAAAACAAACAAAAAAGAAAATTATTTATATAAACACAAGTACTGTATTCCTAACCTGATCTTGTGCTCAGATGAGAAAAATTCTGCAGGAAAATATCTAAACAAAGTAAACTATTTATGGCCACTACAGCTATGGGAAGTTGTGCTGAAGCTAAAAATGCAGTCTGTAAAGGTCAAAGTTCCGTTTCCAACTTCTGTTTAAAATAACTACTGTGACAGGATCTGCACTGGTGCTACAGTTACTAATACTTGCTAACACCGAGTCAATCTTCCCGTACTCACGCACCACCAGTTCGACCACAGGTTCTAAATTTCTCTGTCAGCATTTGCCAACGCAAACAAACCGGGATTCTCCTGGCAAAACACCTCAAGAGGGATTTCAAAAGGAAACGTGTACTCAGCACCTGGAACCGGTGCCTTCAACGAGGACGCACCAAATCAAAGCAGCCCTTTGTGAAGCTGAACCTGCTGCCCCTCACGGGCAGGTCCCCGTGCCCCGCGCAGGACTCGGGCCGCCCCCCCCCAGCCGCCGCCGAGGGCTAAAGCAGCGCAGCTTCGCCGGCGGGGGCACGGCGGGCGCCCGAAGGGCTGGGCGAGGGGGGCAGCCCCGTGCGGGGAAAGGGCAGGGACCCGCGGCGAAGGGGCAGCGCCATGCGGGGAAGGGACGGGGACCCGCGGGTAAGAGGCAGCGGGGCCGACACCGAGTCCGACACCGCCCGCGCGGCCCCCGCTCCGCCCACGCGCTACGTCACCGCGCGCCGCCGGGTCGCCCGGCAACGGCCCCGCGTCCCGGAACATGGCGGCGGGGCCCGGGGCGATGGCGGCGGGGCGGCGGCGGCGGCGGCGGCCGAGCGCCCGTGAGTGCGGCTCCCCCGCGGGCACCGGGAGCGGCGGGGGGGCAGCGCACGGCCCCGGGAGGCTGTGGGGGTGCCCAGCGTGACTGTCCCCAAAGCTCCCCCAGCTGCAGACAGCAGGACGGGGCAGTTTCGGCCCACGAAATGCCTGAACCCAGCGCAGGTCCTGTGAACTCCCACGGCAGCAGTTGGGGAAGAACGAGGTGCTTGGCTGTTCCCTGCCTGCAGGGCGCAGCCACCTCAGTGCACCTTTACTTTACTTTTGGCAAGGCTGCCTTCACCTGGGACAGGGAGAGAGGATCACCCCTATCACGAGACAAACAGATAAGCAACACGGCATCTGGGAAATATAGCCTTTGACATCGGTGTCAGTGTAAGAGAAAGCCTCCTTACACCTCGGACACAGCGTGTCAGTCTGCAGCAAATCAGACAAACGGAGAATTTCTACAGGACACCACTCCATGCAGTGCGCCATTGCCTCCAAAAATGGTGGTGACACTTGAAAGAGCGTTTCACAAAACCTAGTGATCATCTAGAAAATCTGGCTTTATGTATGCACATGTGAATGTGAGCCTAATGCAATGAAGAAATGCTACTCTTGCCAACAAATCAAGAAAATGTTCTATAACTGATCCATTTCAGTAAATACAATGAGTGTGCAGGACAAGGGTAGTAAGGCACAGCCTGTGCTCAAACTGCTGCCTCATCCAGCCAGTGGAATGGCTTTACCAATATTTTCCCTTTCCTTTTGGGAATGGTCCCTCGTCCCTGCTGTTCTCAGAATCATGCCCAAGTACTGCCTGTAAAATGCGAGTTGCTACAAGCCAAACCTGTACATACACACAGACAGGCAAAGTGACATACAAACAGATCAGTCAGTCAGTGCTGCAGTCCATGCACTGGCCATAGTTAGACTACAGATACAGGTACCCTGTCTGAGCTTTGGGGTATGGGGATGAAGAGAGTAACTAACACCAAGCATAACTTAGTATGGTTACTATGTGAGAATTCAAATTCTGATACACATTTGAATATTGGATTTTCTGATATCAAGTAGCCTCAGTATTTTTTTCTTCCCTCTGCACAGCACCACATCATTTGGAAGAAAATAATGTTCCAGATGGGTATTTCCTTCCAAATGAAGCAGATCTTCGTCAGGTAATTGTATTGCCAAAAGCAGAATGGGAAAGGATTCAGAACAGCACTAAAGAAGCAGCACACATCCTCGATGAGAAGAAAGAACAGGAAGAAATTCACTTAGGCTCCAAAGCTGCTGTAAAAGACTCGCCCAATGCCACTGTAGTAAGTACAAGATACATTTGTAAACAAGAGTAGTCATTTTCATATATACCAAAACACTCATAGTAACATTTCTAGCTGTACTCTCTTTGTTTAGCATTTACTTTTGAATATATATATTAACTAAACTCCATTTAAATAAGTTTAATAGCTAACATAAACATTTATATTTTTTAATTAAAGCTAAAATGCAAAATTAAACAAAAAAACCCCGACTACCCAAAATTTAAATGTGATTTCTGATTTTGTCTGTACTACAGAGCCTAGCACAAGAGAAACTTAAAGCCAAAAAATTACGTGAAGAAAGGGAAGAGGAAGAAAGAAAGTTACTTGATTTGGAAGAAGCAAAGTTCCGAGCAGCAAAACGGAAGGAGATTATTGATCATGCAAAAACCTACCTATCCTATCAGAACGACAGAATGAAACAGTTCCACGTTTGTTGACAACTTACAATTTTTAAATTCAAATTGTAACTGAATGTCTTTAAAGACTTCTGAACACACAAATTACTTTAAATGTTCTCTTGCAGAGTGCACTTCTACTTACTGAGGTCCTAAAAGAAAGAGATGCTCAAGTTGAATTTCAAAAGTTGAAGTCAGTTGTTAACAAAAAGAAGGAACGTGAAGAAGAGGAACGTCAATTTAAAGAATACATTCTCAGAGAGCAAGAAAAGGAACAGCAGCATTTTATGAAGGAGCAAGCACTACGCAAATATCAGCTGGAACAGTAAGTAATAATTAAAAGCAACCCTACTTTATTCTTTACTTAGACTTTTATCACAAATATATTCTACAAGGTTTTTACAGAAACCTACTAATAATTTGATTCACGAATGCCACACTTTAAAAGAAAAATTCAAACTGCCACAGAAGATCTTGCCCAAAAGAGAAAAGCTGTAATATACATTTTTAGTTGCCAGCAGTCTGCATGCAAAATCATCTCTTGCAGGCATCAATAGGTTTTAGTCAAATCATTGTTCTAATGCTGTTACTTAAATTTAACTGTGTTTTACTCAGTTTTGGTTCCAGACAAGGAAAAGGTTAAACCAGAATTTCCATTTGCTCATAACTAGTTTCCAGACTGCCCATCAAGAGAACGCATTACTGTCACTTCTTATTCTTGCTCTCAGCTCTTCCAGAAATCTTATGGAGGGGTCCCCACTGGTATTTATATGACTGACCCTGGTGCTCTGAAAGAAGGAATCAAATTTCCCAAGGCAGGGGAAGGGTTCAAAGTCTGGTCTCACACATTCCAGGCCCAACATATAAATACATAAAACACTACCAGCTTAAGCTGCTGTCTGCATGCCCAGAAGGAGAAGCACAGGTACAGGGGGTCTCACTGGGGAAATCTTGTTCTCTGAGGATGTTGCAGAGCTACGCCATGAATGCAATGGTTTTAATGAGCCATCCAGCTAAAACTTGTTACCATGAGACTGCAAACTGTGAGCATACCATGTAGCTCATTTCTGGCTAGAGGACTGAGGGCTACCATTACAGACAATCATGCTGTTTTTCACCTCTGACATTCTACCCACCTTCAACTCAAAGTATCACATTCTTCAGTGCAAGGTACCTATGGTTATGCAGAATATATATCTGTTCATTACTTCATGCAGTTCCTAGCCCATTTATTCACCTTTTTCCAATTCAGAATAAAGGAGCACGAGCATCAGGCAGATCTGGCCAAGATAGAAATCAAAAGAGAAGCAGAAGAAATAGAGAGATTGAATCAACTGTACCAACTGGAAATTCAGAGAAGAAAGGAAAAGAAACAGGAGGAAAGAGCTGAACGCCGGAGGCTGTATCACGTAAGTAACAGGAAAGCAGACAGTTCAAAATGCTTATTTCACCTTGGCTGTAATGGTTGCACTCAGCCCACAAATAAATGGGCCTACTGGCAACAGTTTGCCGACAGCTTCAGTAGCAGGGGATCAAATGCCTCCCCTGCCAGTTGCAGGCCATGTCTTTACTCTGTGCTTTTGAGAAAAGCCTCTCGGAGGCTTTTCTCTTCTTTGTCTGAAGGGACGTTGGCACCTTGTTGGCACGATGTTTTGACTTGTCTATGATTAAGGATTCGGCTGTAGATATGAAGAAATATTCTTCTTGATTTGAGAACTGGATTTAAGTTGCACATTCCTGCTGTTTTAAGCCCATTTTTCTTTGTTAGAAAGAGGGAATAGCCTGAGGCTGAACAAATCTTTTTAATTTGACTTTCTGCTTATGATTGGAGATGTTTAGAAATTTAGTCAAGACCTGCTGCCTTTTCATTTCATCTTAAACAGCATCTTGCTAAGTACAAACTAGGAAGTGCCTTAGAATGGTTTTGACCAAAATGCAAAAGACAGCTGTTTTTTTACATAAAAGTATAGAAAACTCCGTTTCAGCTATGTTTTGGATTAAGCTCTTAGACTGGGATAGTTTTGGAAGAGATGGGCCAGGAGCAGTATGGTCTGTGTGGCTGTTGGGGGATGTTGGACAGTCCCATGCCTTCCACTGTCCCACTCTCCCATGTCTGTGAATGGGAGCATGGGATAATGCTCTCTGTATTGCACAGCAATTTGTTTTTGATATATGCTGGAAAAGCATGTGTTTGATGCTCAATTCCCCTTCCACTTTCTCACATCTGCTGTCTCCTCTTCATGCATGTTTGAATAGGGAGTAAGTGGAAGTCCTGAAAAGTCTCTCCTCTCTTCTCCCTTGGAAAGAAACATGAGAAGAGAGAACAGGGAGTGATCCTTGTTAAGTTGCTACCCTAGGCCCAGATATTGTAAACTTTATCTGTTACATCAGGGACTGTTTTGACCATACAGGAATACATAGCTGACCAGAAAATAATCAAAGCAATAGAGGAACAAAAACAAATGGAAGAAGATGATCGGATCAAAGCTCATTTTAAAGCAAAGCAAACTATTGCCCGGATGCGAAAAACGAAAGAAGCTGAAATGCGTAGGTGGGTACAAAGCTAGAGGATAAACTGTAAATAAACTAAAAATTATACTGTAGTCAGAGCTTTCAGACCAATGACGTAACACAATCAACAATTTACTGACAGAGAGAGTATGGAATTCAGGAGAATAAGGAAATTCTTTCACAGGTTCCTTAGTACTAAGTGTGCTAGGGAGCAATCTCTCCACCCTTCAAAGTACAAAGGCTTAGAGAAGTACAAAGCTTTACACCAGTGTATTGGGAACAGTGATTTTCCTATGTCCTGCCAAGCCTCCAACCTCCTCAACAATTAAAGACAATTAAGATCCTTGATGAAAATATTTCTGAGTATAAGCTAAATTTCTCTGAGTCGGATCAAGAAAA